TTTACATTTCCTAAGACTCACTCTGGGTAGAGACGGCAAACCAAACTGTCCTTTTATTTTAGTCCGTGAAAGAAGTTTAAAAAAACTATGTGAGTGCAGTATAGGGTATTATTATATCGATATTAGTCAAGATAAACGACCCGAAGCGCAAAACTACAGCCAGCAGTATTTTAGAGTGCACCGTGTAAACACTTAAAACCACCAGAAAGTTACTGAAATACGAACAGCAGCAATTAGTTTTATTACAAAATAATGATTGAAACTAGTTCATATATGGTGAAGACATCACGTAGACTACACGCCAAAAAAGTCGGTCCTTCCAGAACCTTCTTCGTTTTGAAGTGGATTCAAAAGATTATTGCCTACGTATTATATTTAACTCTCCATTTTCTTGTTCATCTTGCAATGTTTATTTTATAGTATTGAGATATTAGGCTTATTATGGTCTTCAAGCTTTGCTTTCCATTCTTCACATGCATACTCATATTCTGAATCACTTATACACTGATTTAATTACGAAAGAAACACGTCGATAAAAAGCCGCATAAGCAATTTGGCAACTATCACCCACCTAATTAATCTATCGTGTTCACGTGTCGGCACCTGAGTATTAATAATGACCCACATGACTTCAACTTACCCAATTCATCTATTGTTAGACTCGTCTCTATTATGCTCACTTACCAATCTACACAATTTTTCATCAATATCAGTGGAAAATTTGCTATAAGGTTTATTACTGCTTATAATAGGTATTTTTTGCAGTTCTGATCGTATACTTTGTATTCTACAACTATTACAATCCATTAAAGAAAATCTTAGCTCCGAAAATATTATCGACGAAAGACAGTATTTTATTGCTAAGGAGTAGGTTCAAGTTTTGATGGTCCTTCGGGTATACTTATTCTTCAGTGGCAAAGTACGCAATGTACCTACACCTACGCACAGATTCACGTCATCAGACAAACTGGGAGCAATTATGTTGGACGATTCCTTCGGCCTCTTCAGTCTGTAAGCTTATTATTGTGTGACATAATGTTGAATAATTTTGGAGAGTTTCTTACACCAGTATACAAAATAAAATCTAGTAGTGAAAATAGCACACATAAGCTCTGATAACAAATAACTGGATGTAATCTCGCTTTGCTGGAAATCTAAATAGTAAGTTTTAAAAATTTAGGGGTTGATACCAGATAGATAAAAGACATAATAATATATAAGGCAGAACCAAAATAAAAAAAAAACGTTTTTAAGAATATGATCCTTTTATTACATTTGGTTGTAAATAATAATATAAAATAGAAACTAAGTTAAGTCACTAGTAATAACTGTCACTGGATCCACGTACCTCACTGGAGAATGGAAAATAAACCTTAAAAATCTCCCGTTAATCCTAAAAATACCTCTATAACTGTTTTCTAAGTGACAGATTTCTGTTTACTTCTTGTTTCCAATAAAGTTTACGTGAAATTGTATTTTTAATATAATTTTTAAAAACACCTATCATTTTTAATACGACCTGTATCCCTGCATAGAAACGATTTCCGGGGAATTACCATATTGGGTCGCAATTGTAGCAATCTGTGGGCCAGCCCCTACACTTTTAAGGTACCCTAATAAATAACTATCAAATAAAACGTAATGTGCCTGAGGCCATGTCTTATCAATTCCACCACATCATGTAGAGGATCCATGTTTTCTTATTTCTTGGGTTAATAATTTATTTTGTATCTACGTAAAATTTTAAAAATATTGGTTATAAATATGGTTTGGGACTTAACAGTTTCAATGGACACATAACTATATTTGATAATATTTCGTTTTCTTCGGTGTTCTCAAATGTTCATTAACAGGCCAGTCGCTTGATAAAAGATCTTATCTACAATCATATTCAATCAGGTTTTGTTTACACAAAATAGTTCTTATGACTTTTAATTGAAGATTACAGTTTGAAGCGACAATAATGATTGATAACACAGACCAACAAAAAAATTCAGAAATATTTTGGTGCTCTGAACCTAAATCCGGCCTTAGAATTCCTTTATCACGTCAGATTTTGAGATATTCTAACCTAAAAGTGCCAACAAAGCCATTTTTGCCCATTTTTCAGGTTATTAAACCCTTAAAATTATATTATGTCTAAAAAAGTACACAGGGTATCTTAAACTTCAAGGCTTCAGTTTTCAAATGACGTTGATTTTGCTTAAATATCTTTTTTCTTCGCTGAGATGGTAGTGAACAGGGTTTGCTTAGTTTAGAGGCTAGTATTTCAGTTAAAGGTTTGCTTAGCGGGGTGGGCAGTATTTGACTTGTATTTTAAGTTACCTTGTGTACTTTTTTAGGCTTAATAATATTTGAACGGTTACATAGCCTTAAAAGTGGGCAAAAATTATTTTTTTGCTCTTTTAGGTTAAAATATCTCAGAAGCCAGACATGATAGAGCAATTCTGGAACCAAATTTGGAAGCGCACCAAAATCCTTTGGGAAAGTATACTCTACGAGTAGTTACTGGGTAAGAAACTTTGTCAAATTTTGTTGGCCTGTATAATAATACCCTCAAAACAACGACTTATGGTATTTGTTGTTAAATAAGTAAGTCATCATTTCATTATTTAATAAATAAGATAAAGGTTCTGCAGTGAATATAATATATTGTAGTTTCTGCCGAATTGTATTATAGTTTGCTATGTAAAAAGTCAATCGACATGAAAAAGCCGAACAAGTAAGGAAAAAGAAATTACAATAAAGAAATTATGTCTATTGGCAATGTGTGTTGCATGGAAACGGCTGCTTACCATTTAAATAGTCTCCAATAAAGTCGTCGAAAAACAAACAAGAGCTTGCTAAAATCGGAATTCTTGGGTACACTACTGGCTGGCCACAAAAGGCCTATTAAAGCGGTGGAGTGTCGAAAAAGTCTATTAACTAGCCCTCGCTGACAATTGTATCGTAATGTTTGAAGCTTAACACTCGCTCGACTTACCGTTTCTTATTGACTACAGTTTTGAACTTACAATCGTTACTCGTACTTTTACAGGTACAATATTATGTAGATATTTTATATCGAACTAGCTGTTCCCCGCCACATAGTGTGTTGTGTTGATGAGAAATGAGGAAAGAAACTGATGCGAAAAATACGTAAAACCACATATAAGACGGGTTTTATATCCTGTCAAAAATTGAGCTCAATTGTTGCAGAAATTCTTGAGTTTTTAAAAGCGTACACAAATCAACTCAACTTATATTATCTATAGAGTATACGTAGGGTAACAGCACTGCAAGGAAAAGTAAAACTTGTAATAAACACTATACCGACCCTTCTGGCCAGAGCGTGGTACAGTGGGCTAAGCCTCCTTTCTAAGGAGAGGCTTATGTAAAGCAGTAAACTATTAAAGGCTGTTGATGATGATGAAGTGAAATTAGAAACACAAAACACTAGCACTTAAAAATAAAAGTTACCCTAAATGTGCGAAATACAAGACAGTAACCAACCTAATCACTCCAGAAAAAACTACCCAGGATGCACTATTTCGGGGTCTTCTACAATCACTTCCAAGATTCTACATTGCACCAACAATCCCTACTTTATAAGATCGTCTATCCACCTAGTTGATGCACATCCCACGCTGCGCTTTCTGATATAGTATCCTACACATGGTCTTTCTGTACGTTTGTACTGCCAATGATAAGCGCATCCTGTAAACAACACTGACGGGATTAGAGACGTCTATGGAGTATTATATATTTGGTAAATTTACTAAAATAATTACGATTAGGATATCAATAAGAGCCACAGTTGTCAAGGAGTTAGAATACATACAGAGAAGCCGTATGTATTAGGCGTTTCACCTATATTTAGAACTTGAATACGTTCTATTTTAATGGAGTACCTTTAATTAGAGTGAATCAATAGAGTGAGAGTAAAATCATGTTTAAAGCTCAGTAGCGGTTTAGGTAAAGAGAGAACCAAGTTACAACAGGTTTATGTTATATCGCGTTAAAAGTCACAATTCAAAAATAACATGATCCAGAAGACAATACAGTGATGTTAACATATTCTTGTGTATCACTAGTTGAAGTTGCCTAAAATCTCACACAGTTGCAATCCTAATCAATAAATTAATATTACACGTTCAATAGTGAGTTTATAATTATGTATATATATATGTATGTATTTACAAAAAAAGTATCAATCAATCTAGCTTTCTCAGTACAAGCTCTGCTTCGTTTGAAACAAGATGGCATTGTGTGTTAGATGTCCGAAAATATAAAAAGAAAACATTTGTATTATATTATTATGTACGGTAATTATGGGCTGTCATGTTTTAAAATGTCTGAAGCTTCGAAGACTCACAGACAGAGTCAGCCATCAATTCAATTGTATATGATACTTACTATGGAACCCTGTTAGGATCGCCAACGGTTAGCAAACTGAGTTTGTTTGCATGTTTTTCTGACTGTATCTCTGATAATGGACATGAAGTGTAGTAAATACGTTCTGTGAGGTACATCGGGTCATCAGAACCAATTTACTGTTCTGAAGTAAAAATTAGAAAGAAAAATATACCGTGAGCAAAACCGCAGATAAAAGTAATTTATTTAGCACTATGTAGTAATTTGGTAATTAAAGAAAAATGGCCAAGAGCATTCACTGATGTATTATTTTGTCGTATGTTCTGAATATGCAATGTTACCTTTTTTATAAATGTAACGTAATGTTCACACAGGTTGTGTATATAGATAATTTTACAAGTAATTAAAAAAGAGATATTGTTAAAATAAAAAAAATACAACTCTTTTCATTTCTTGTTCCTGACTATTAAACAAACAAGTGTGTGTGTGTATCGGTATTTATTATCGCTTTACTCTCATGTCCGTTGATACGAACAGAAGCTTGTTGTTTAAAATAAACATTTGTTTTAAATTACTAATGTATCGATTTGCATAATGTGACACAAGTTTTTATATTTGAAGTTTGTAAAGTGCTTATAAACGTTAAAATGGATTTGAAATTTTCTTTTAAGGGTGAGTTAATTTATTGACGTTATATTTAGTCGCGTGGGTTCAAAAATTATGAGTAAACTTTGTGACCATATAATTCTTACCTAAATGAAATATTATTTTTGAGAAATAAATGGCATAATGTTTTTTTCTGTGTTTGCCCTTGTCCTTGACTTTGATACTAGAAGCCGAAAATTTGACAAGGAGTTTGGGAGTGAGGCGGGCAAGGAGGGAGATTTCAATTTTGATTTTCAAGTGTTTATATTGGTTTTTCATAAAAGACACCTGAAATTTGGCAGGGAAGTAGTTTGATTGTTCGTTGTATAACCACAAAGAACTAAGAATTTACACATTTAATAGATTGGTTTCATTAACGATTAGAACTATTATGTGAATCTTACATAGAACCAAAAACAATTAAAATCATTATAAATAGGGCCTCTAAGTGACTGATTAGGAGCAGGCCTGCCTCTAGCCTATTGAAGGCCCTGGGACATTAGGATAGTGGAGCCCTTACTGAGCACTATTTTGTTAGAATAGAATGAGAAAGTATTGTAGTCAGCCGTTATCACTTTTTCGAAATTAATATGTTTTTCGGTAATAAGTATAGATTTTCGATTGGTGATATGGCAGGAATTAGGAGCCCCCATGGATCGATATGCTCAGAGTGGTCAGTGGGAAAGAGGGGCTTGAGTGGATGGTAGGTCCCGAAAAATGTATATCATTCAGATAGGCAATAAACTGATGAAGGACCTAGGTAAAACCAATCATAACGGGCGATTGTGTATGAAGAATTCGATGAATATAGAAAAGGTACAAAGTGTTTGGAGGGGAAAGGAAGTAGAGAGTGAAAGTGTGCAAATATTTATTTGGCTTGATAAAGGACAACGGCAGGTTATGGTTTCATGTCATGGAAGTTTTTTACCGCTTTGCGGATCTCATGGTACGGATTATTGTTGTATTTATTTGGCTAGTAGTATCATCAACAATTACAGTTTTAATTACCAGATTTTTAGAACTTTGCGTTCAAAGTTATTTCAATTTATAGTTTACATGGCTGTACTGAAATCGATACCAACGATAGCTGGCTGTCACAAATGAGTTGTTATTACTGTCAACAAGATAACTAAAGTATCAAGTAATAAAATCAAAATTATTCGTTTACGATTTTGCCGCCCTATCAAATCAGTTAAATTACTTTATATACATAATGTTCCCGATTAATCCAATCAATTCGAATGAAATTTTTTAGTCCCTTTCCCTAAATTAATTGGTTTAAAATATCTCTATAATTCCTTTATTAATTTGTTAATAATTAATTTATTAATTTGTACAGGCAACATTGGTTTTATTTTAATTTTAACAGCTAAATACATTATTGAACTCATTATTAAATATCGATGTAAATATACAGTTTTTTTTATGCAATTTATATTTTATGCATAGTTTAAGCAACAACTTTTCGCAAAGTTCTAAAAATATGATAATTACACGAAAATTGTTAGGTGATTCACTTTATAAACAATACAAATCTCATAACCGTCTATTGCATATTACCAGGTGTACAGGATCTGCTGTTCTTCTCAATATTAAAGATTTTTTCTCAATATTAAAACTAAATGAACACTTACTTTTAACCTATGTTCGTATTGGTTTTTCTAAAAACAAACTCTCTTCCATAAAGCGCAATTTGAAACCATTTGTATGTCAATGTACCTATTTGGTACAAAGATCTCTCTCTCGTATCGCATAATATAAGCATTAAATTCAGTTTACCTGAATTATAGTTCAGGCACTGAACCTCGTTTCAGAAATGTGGCCAATAGGCAAATAAAAAGAAATAGTTTCCGTATTATTTAGACGTAACTCATACTTTTTATTTATCAATAGAATTCTTTAAAGTAAAATTGATCTTCTTACAGGTATTATTTTCTTCGCATCTGTAATTGCACTGTCATCATCAACATGTGAAATGAAGAGTTATTTCTCTAGCTGCAGCTATGTAGTACAATGTGAAACGACGGCGTCAGCTATCTCCTACCCATCATGTAATTCAGAACCCAATGTTACGTTCATCATCACACATTCTAGCCTTAACTATTTGACGACAGGGTTTTTTGCATCAACAAATTTTGATTCCAAGGTTCGAGAAATTAAAGGTGTTGGTAATTCTTGGAAAACGATTGATAGTTCTGTTTTTAGATATTATCCTCAATGTCTTCGAGTAAATTTAGCCGGTAATAATATACTAGCAATAAGTGCAGAGGCTTTCCGAAATCTACAACATATGCGATATTTAAATTTATCCAGTAATATGATAGAGTCATTTCATTCTAAATCCTTTGTAATATCAGAAAACAGAAATAATGAACTTCAAGAGCTAGATTTATCGTACAACAAGTTACAATATTTGGATAGTGAATTAAATGAAGTCCCAAATTTGAGAAAGTTATACCTACAAAACAATTATCTGTCAAGTATTGCAGATGACGCCTTTATGAATCTGAAAGATTTAAATCATTTATACTTGCAGCAGAATCTTCTAACGTCAATCAACTTATCTTTAATTCATTTAAAAAACTTGACCGAGCTAGACATTTCTAATAATCGTTTGGTAAAGCTTTCTGGGTATCAAATCAACCGTTTGGTTTCAATTGTAGATTTTAATGCATCACATAATGAACTTACACTGGTGGAATCTAACTGTTTTAATCTAGCTTTTAATTTACAAAAACTCGATTTTAGTTATAATAATATTAAGATGTTAATTGAGAATGTCATGTTTATAAACAACAACAAACTGAATTATTTAAATTTTTATAACAATAAAATAATTGGGGTACAAGAAAATGCATTTCTACATTGTGATTTGATCTATTTTAATATAGAAAATAATAATTTTACTGGTGATATTAAAGAATATACATTTTCTAATTTGGATTATATAACTAAATTAGATTTGTCCCAACAAAATATAACAGGGATTAGAAACAATGCGTTTACTGGCATGGAAAGTCTTCTCAATCTAAACCTAAGTAGGAATAACATAAATTTAGTAGAAAATTCAAGTTTTGCAAGTGAATCTAATATTATTGTTTTAGATTTGTCTCATAATAAAATTCCTAATTTATACTTCGTTAAAAACTCTTTACCAAACCTTACTGAATTGTATCTCAACAACAACAATATCACCAATGTACCTAAATATATCTTTGATAATCAACTACAACTTAGACTCTTAGATCTTTCCATGAATGATATTTACAGTATTGAAGAGTATTCTTTACCTTTACAAAACTTGCAGTATCTTTATGTCAAGGGAAATCGAATTAATGGTGTTATCAAATCAAATGTATTTAGCCCAGCCAAATTTTTAAGATTTTTAGAATTAAGCCATTTCAACATAAGTAAAATTGATAGTATGGCTTTTGTTGATCTACCAGTATTGGCTAAACTTAATCTTTCAAATAATTACATACACAGTATAGAGCCCAATAGCTTCAAAAATGTTAATAACCTGTATAGTTTAGACATTTCCCATAACAATTTATTTGATTTGAAATTTACAGGTGGAGTATTAACTAATCTTAAAGCTCTACACATAAGCAATAATAATCTATCAAATATATCAGGCTTACTTTCAAATACTTGTAAGCTCGCATATCTAGATTTGTCTTATAACAATATAAAGAATGTGTCCGAAATGAGTGCTATGATTTTCCCAAATTTGACCGTATTATTTCTTGATAATAATAAGTTAAAATATTTCAATAGTCCTAAAATCAACACTCTAACGACACTTGTTGACTTGGGGTTAGCTTCAAATGAAATAAGTGACTTACAGTTGAATTATTTTAAAGAACTTATGTCAGTAGATTTGAGTAACAACAGTCTGACTTATATAAATAGGACATTTTTAGAGAAAAATGAGCATCTGCAAGCTTTAGATGTAAGTAGAAACCAAATTACAGAGTTACCTCCAGGTACTTTCCAGTTTATGAAAAATTTAAAGCTATTAAATTTATCATCTAACTATTTGACAAAACTTCGCTATGGAAGCTTAAAAGGTCTTCATAGAACTGAGATTCTAGATTTGTCAAGGAATAATATTGCGCAACTTGACGTTGATATTTTTCATGAATGTGGTGAACTTAAAGTTCTGATCATTGATTACAATCGTATTAAAACTTTTGATGTAGAAAGACTCATTCTTATTGCTCTCAGGAAATTGAGGACTTTAAGCTTAGGTGGTAACCCAATACTATGCAGAGAAATTGTACATAATATGAAGTCCGCAAATACAACTTTTTATGCTATAAGACAAGTAGAAGTAACTTCTATTGATAAAATATATCATGAGGATAATGTTCATGGTATAAAGTGTGGCGATGATTCAGATACTACAGTAAGTTCTACAATAAAACCGGTACCAGTTGAGCCCGACAATCCAAATGTTGATTCTTCATTTACTTCAACATCCATAGTACTTATTTGGTGTTTGGTTCTAACCATAGTACTTGTGGCAGCCGGTGTAGTAGCATACATAAAATTGTATAATAAAAAAGTTTATGTTGTAGATAGTAACATGAATTTGCGGCTCAGGAATTCAATGGATTTAACAGGATCGGACTTTCAGAATGATTTGTTGAATTAGAATTTATTTTTAGAAAATATACTAATAAATTAGCAGTTATTAAATTGAAACATTAATCATAATTGAAGATGTGATTTATACTATGGTGTATTTTAAATACAAAAATGTTTGATGTGATAATCTTATTTTGATTCTACCTTCTAATCTACTTTATAATATTAATAAATTGATTGTGTTAAAAATTTAAGTGTACCGAGAGACACAGTGATGGTTTTGAATATTTTTAACAAAGTTAAGCTTTCCTATATGACTTTAATGTAACTTTTTTATGACATAGGGCAAACGAGCACACGGGTCATCTGATGAAAAGTGACTACGATTCATAAGTGCGAAGCAGATGCCAAAATTTTAACTAATATTATGAATGTGTTACTGGTACGTTGCTAAGGGTACAAAAATGAACATGGAGAAACATGGGATTTCATACAGGAGAAACGATAGTTCGTAAGGCACAGACAAACTACCAACTACAACAGCGAAACTACGAAGCGAAGCGAAGACTTATTTCTTTTTTAAGATATTGAATAGACGGATAGTTACTTCGAACGCATCTACTATGAGATAGGAATTGAAATAGTTTCATTATAATGTTAAATACGAACATGAGAAATCGCTGTCTCTTGAAAGGCATAACATAGGATTGCAATATCGTATGCATGGAACAGAGCTGTGCCATATATTAATAACTCTAGTACTAAACAGAAGTTTTACTCTACCAAGGATCTGTAATAATTAGGAAAGCAATGAAACATGAAGGTTCTCCCATACCTTCTGAATGTAAATAAGATTTATTGGATCACATATACCGTAGGTAACTGTTAAAAATTACTAAATTAATCAAATCACACCAATTTGTATATACTCGTGACTCTTGAGAAATTACTTACCGAAGCAGCAAGCTTATGGTTGACAAATAGCAAAATTCTCTTCAGGAAATAGCATGGTACTGATGATCCTTTTAAATATTTTAACAGAGGGAACACAAAATACCCAGCCTTAATTAATTATTACTAGGCATTAAAGTAAAAAAAGGTCATTATTAAACGGATGTCTAACAAGTTAAAATAAAATCTCAGTCTCACACTGGCAACACGAAAAAATAACAGATGTAACTTGGCGATATGAAGTTATCTCTGGTAAAAAATTGTTTAGCGGGGAAGTGTTCCTTTTGGTACAGTCATCAATCATCCTTGGAACAAACGAGCCCGCAATAATTCCCACAGTGTACACGCTCAGTCTGAAATATTATATTTGGAAAGCCAGTATCCCTGGCTATATAAATGTGTTAAATCGGTAAATAGAAAAATGAGTTTTGGGAATTTTGATGTTTCATATTAAACCGTTTGGTTTCATTTTACGACAAATTTTAAATCAATGATATTTATTAAAACCGAAGCTGTTAAAACCTGGTGAATAGCATATACAGCACATTTTTTGACACAGTTGTCAATAGTAACTATTCCCAATGCATTGCATAAAAATAAACGTATCTTTTAAAATGTTGTTGCTGCTTTTTGGAATCATTTTTGAAAAAATATTGGGATGGGATGATTAGGAATCATGTTCGATATTATAATACCTCGGTTCTCATTTTTTATCCTCAATGTGTGATGAGAATTTAATAATCAAATCATCAATCATCAAAAGGTGTAAAGTAAGGTCGTAAAGGTAAGGTCTAAAATATCAGGTAAGGTATATATTTGTTAATTTTCATCATCAATATTATATAAAAAAAATATGTATGTGTTTTGTAGATATATTATGTTTTTAGATGTAAGTTCATGTCATTTTTTACATAAAAACCTGCTCAAACAAAAGAAAATTTCCAAACATTTTTTTCTCTTCACTTAGTTGAAGTTTATAAAATTAACTAGATTAGTTTTAAGAAAAAATAACTGTATACGTAGCTATCAACCATGATACCAAGAAAACAACACTACAACATGTTCAGAAAAGCAAGGGGTGGTTTCCTTTAAGGAGATAACTACAACAAACTTCAAAGTAAACTTAGGTGTAGCTCCTAACTAAGTTACTACAGTTGCCTAATTTTGCCATATAACGCTGCCAGGGATATGTGATGGATACGGGCCGAACTGGTTCTGTTTAATACCTCAGATTGCAGTAATAACTGTATGTAATTTAATTACTGTTTGAAGATTTTAAAGCATTTGTGATCAACATGAAAACGTATTATGCATTAAACGTAGTATGTATATGTATAATAAAAGTTGTTTATACATAGACAGTTGTTTATGTAAAACATTTAACAGGGGCACCATAAATGAAACTAGTTGGTACATTAACAAGTGCATAAAATATGTATCCATGACATTCCTATAATTGCATTCTTCATTATGGTTATAATTATTGCCTCGCACAACTAATTTGTCGAACAAATTGTTAACCGATACGAGTTTAAAGCCTTCAGGAAAAGAGCGTACCCCCCCCCCCCCCCTCCCTCCTGAAAGGCCGGCAACGCGGCCAGTTTTGCTAATAAAAATGAGCTCTTGATCTATTAGTATACTAAGATATAAATTTTACATACTAAGATTATAAACCCAAATTCTCTTTCATTCTTTGTTATGTTTAAATGAAATAATTACAAATCTACATAACTAATCTACTCCACTATTAAACTTTTTGTTGAATTCGAAGAAATCTATTGTTTAAGATAGAATACTCATTGAAGAAGATTGGCCTGATTATGTCTCTTTCCTTAAAAACAGAGACTGACCTTACTCTGCAGACCGCAGCTCCTTTACTCTAACCTCTTTTTCTACGTCAATTACATTATTTCTTCTTCCTGTTCGAAAACGATTATATTCCTAAAGAGAATTGGTATGAGGCAGTCAGCTAGCTATAAAAGAATCCACCCAAAATTCTTTGACACATATTTAAAAGACTTTTACGGTATACCTTTATAGATTTTTGACATCATAATCCATTAGTTAACTGACATTGTATAATACTTAATCTAAACATATTTATGCTTTTTACCTTTACGGTATACCTTTATAGATTTTTGACACCATAATCCATTGGTTAACTGACATTGTATAATACTTAATCTAAACATAAATATAATTATTATTAATAATAAATATAAATAATATTCTGCCACATACACACAACGCCATCTAGTCCCAAACTAAGCAGAGCTTGTACTATTTGTACTAGACAACTGATATAAATACATTATATACTTTTTTTTTTGTAAATACATACATATTAAACATAGAAACACCCAGACCAAATCAAACATCAAATGTTCATGCACGCAAATGTTTGGCTTGAGCGGGAATCGAACCCGCGACCTTTGGAATAGCAGTCCGTTACACAAGCCACTACGCCATTGAGTCGTCTATCGTGTCGTTGAATATCTAATCTATACACACTTAATCTATTTTGCCCTTTCTTTTTTTCTTTCTTTGACTGATTCATCAACGCAAAGCCTGAACTACTGCGGGTACAAACTTCAAATTTTGGCAACTGATGTTTTTTATTTTGTAAGCACTCATTGAGGAAGGGTTTTTGGAAATTTCACCCCCAAAAGGTTATAAGGGATAAACGGTATTTTCAAAGTTAGAAATAAGAATTATTTAAGCGATGCCGCTGGCAATAGCTAGTCTGACATAGTACTAAAATATTTTGCTAAAAAAGTTAAACGTCAAGTACAGTGAAGTTTTGTAAGATAGGTACTTGTACTAAAAAAAAAAAACAATTTAATTTTCAGGTGAAAGAATGTGTCGGTTTGGATTAAAATAATTCTATAATAATAATAATAACTGTATACTCTCACACACGGCCGTCTAGTCTAGTCCCAAACTAGGCAGAACCTGTGCTACGGTAGCCAGACTGCTCATAAATATACTTATATATTTTTAAATATATACATATTCTAAGAAATTAATTTATGCGGTATACAATTTGTGTTCAGGTAGGAGAATAGAAATTAATCAACTTGATTGAATTTTAATGTACTGTCAAGTGCAAGCTGTATAAATTAAGGATTGAGTTGGGCAACACTTGTTGGCTTTGCATTCAACTAATTTGCATAGTGACGTAACAAACTGGAGGCGTCAAATTAAAAAAACATAATATTTTGACTGATATTATGAAGATAATATATTTTATAATAAAAGAGATCTATAATAAATGATTGTTAATTATAATGTTTTGTAAGATGTTAAAATAGATCTGTTTGGCAAATAACAATTAACCAAAATTTTTATTGACAGTTTTGATGGAAAAACGGCATGAGGGGTCGTCTATGGACTCCTGGTCGGAACGAAGTTTCTTTAGCTTTTTGGTAGGCGTTTGCTATAGTGTGGTGACGGATTAAGAATACAGAGTGTCACCACCCCTATTCATCCCATGGGTGTCGTAAGAGCCGACTAAGGGAGGAAACTAAGCAGAACAACAGCAATACAGAGAGAGTGAAAACTTGACACAATCCCTTTATTTTTTTATTTTTTTTTAACGTGTGGAAATCCCCTCGGACCGTCACCCCTCCGGGGTTTGCGGCGGGGTGGTGTGTCGGACTCGGACCGACTAAAACCACACGGTGTGCCACTCTGCGCCTGTAACAGGAGGGATCCGGGAACAGCTGCTGTTAAGACATCCGGACCCCTCCTAGCGCCAGCCCGCTCCTGGTGCGGGCTCCGTCTCGATGTGGATGTTCCTCTCTTTAGGCGACGTCCGGCACACGCGGACGCCGCCCCCTCGCGGCTGGCCAACTAATGCGGGTGGAGGGGAAACCCACCCCGTCCACCCGCGGCCACACTCAGGGCGGCATGAGGCTGTGATAGCCGGGCCTCCGCCGCCCGGTTCGCCGGCGGCGGATCGGGTCCGAGTGGAGGTCGTCCTCCCGGGCCCTCTCCGCCGTCTCCTTCCGCGAGATTACTACCTCGCAGAAGGTTGCGACCGCGGTAAAACAACTGTCGCTACCGGGCAAGAGTCGCCCTAGGGCAGACGCAGCGCCAACCAGCTTTGGAGCAAGC